CGCCTTCGCCTTCCCGGGCGAGCTGCTGCTGCGCCTGCTGCGGATGATCATCTTGCCGCTCGTGGTGTGCAGCCTCGTCAGCGGCGCCGCCAGCCTGGACCCCAGCGCGCTCGGCCGCCTGGGCGCCTGGGCGCTGCTCTTTTTCCTGGTCACCACGCTGCTGGCGTCGGCGCTCGGAGTGGGCTTGGCGCTGGCGATGCAGCCGGGCGCCGCCGTCGCCGCCGTCAACGCCTCGGTGGGAGCCACGGGCGCGGGCGAAAATGCCCCCAGCAAGGAGGTGCTGGATTCGTTCCTGGATCTCGTGAGGTCAGACCCCGCCCGCCCAGGAGGTGGGGAAGGGACGCGTGTTAGGGATGGCAGGAGTGGCCACGTAGCCAGGACGGGGCATCCTCTCTAGGGGCTTAGAGAAACGCAGCGAGATTTCTTGGGAATGTGAGGATGGGCTCTTGGGGGAGAGGGCTTGTTAATTTGGGGGCCTGGGCGTATCAGTGGGGCCCTACATGGGGGCCACAGGCAAGGCGGTCTTATAGAGGAAGACAGAAGTAGCCCCGGGACTTGAGGGGACCTAGGGCGACCTGACCAGGGGAAAAAGACCCTCTGGGGAGGGTTGATCCCGAGGGGAACTTTTTGGGAGAAAACCTTCAGTGCCCAAGGGCCGCATGATAGAGCTTCTAAGGTAGGTATAGATGTGGGGCCAGGGTGGGAGGGTTTGGGACCCCTGGGTAGGAAGCCTCTGGGGGACTCTGAGACCCGGAGTAACTCTCCCACCAGGCCCTCTTCCCAGCCCCTGGGCTCCCAACCCCACGTGTCACCCGGACGTGACCAGGTTCCTTTCTCAGCCTCCCTTCCCCACCCAGGTCAGCCTGGCCACCCCCGCCTTTCCATCTCCGTTCTCCTCCCAGCTACCCCGAAGGGAGCCAGTGAGAAAGAGGAACAGATTCGTTTCCTTCTTCTGGCCTCTGCCCGGCGCCCCCAAGAACGGCCTTACTCGCCGTTGGGGGGGGCAGACAGCTGGGTCCCTGTGACCTTGCCTGTAGGGGCTGCTGATTCAGCATCTCCAGGTGGGGGACTTCCTGGAAGTCGGGGGAGGCAGTGGTGAGTCACAGAACAGGGTTTCCCCAGTCTGGGGCCTCAGTGCAGGCTGAGATGGGAGACTCGCTCCGAGGGGGAGCACTGCCTGACCCGGGGAGATTAGCCTGGTCCTGGCCCAGCCCTGCCCTGGGTGGGTGCAGACAGGCACACCCACTTCAAGGCTGCTGATGGGCACAGACCTTCCTGGGTGTCAAGACAGCTGTAGCTCACACTTGGCCAGCCACTCAGATTCAGCTATCTCTCACAGCTGCGCACGACTTTATTTATTTATTTACTTATTTATTTGTTGAGTTGGGATTTCACTTTGTCACCCAGAGTCTGGAGTGCAAGGCATAATCACAGCTCACCACAACCTCCAACTCCTGGGCTTAAGGGATCCTCTGGCATCAGCCTCCCAAGTAGCTGGGACTACAGGCGCATGCCACTACGCCCAGCTAATTTTATTCTTTTTATTTTTTTTTGTAAAGACTGGGTCTCACTGTGTTGCCCAAGACGGTTTCGAACTCCTGGGCTCAAGCAATCCTCCCGCCTCAGCGTCCCAAAGTGCTGGGATTACAGGCAGGAGCCACTGCCCCCAGCTCCACACAACTTTATAGCTGTATGACACACAGCTGGACACAGGCACACACACACTCAGCCCCGGCCGTAACATCTCACACTAACACATAGCCATATACCGTCTGTCACACATCTGCTCACTGTGCAGTAACACCCCTAGAGCACGTCTACTCCGTGACGCTATCAGCCACACCGACACCTAGACACTCCAGAGCACAATACACACTTACATACACACCTATATATGTGGTCACACACCAGCATACTCATGACACTCTACCATGACACATGGCTGACCAGCTACTGACGCTGTCCCAAGCAGCTGAACACTAACCCGCACCTCCAACCCGATAACATTGGACAAACCACACGGACCCACAGCAATAGCTGTGCACCCACGTCACTGGTGAGAGGGAGAGGGTGCAGAGTGGTTAGGACTTTGGAGCCAGCTGGCTGGGCTCAAATCCCAGTTCTTAGCTGGGCAAGTTTCTTCACCCTTCTCAAACTCCTGGCCTCAAGTGATCCTTCCGCCGTGGCCTCCCAAGGATGACATGGGTGAGCCACCGCGCCTAGCCTATTTCACCCCTCTAGGCCTCAGTTTCTTTTTCTGTGAAATAGGATAAGAGTGCTTATCCTATTCTGTTGTGAGGGTTAAGTGAGTTAACTTGCTATGTGGAGGCTGAGGCAGGAGGATCTCTTGAGCCCAGGAATTCCGGGCGGCAGTGAGCTGTGATCCCATTCCTGCATTCCAGCCTGGGCAATAGAGTAAGACCCTGTCTCAAAGGAAAAAAAAAAAAGTGAACTTGTATGAACTAGTGTAGAGCCCTAGCCGGGTAGATGGGTTTGCTGCTATTTTCAGACTCTCTCACACAAGAGTGGCCCTGTAAACATAGATGCATATTCATGAGACATGAAGCCCATCGCCCTCTCATCACCACCTCCCAACACTCCCAGATCCTCCCCCACCCACGCTCAGACCCACCAGCCACCTCTGCCTGGGGCCAGTCCCTTTCTCAGCCCTCCCGGAGGATCTGGCTGATGCAAGCCGTTCTGGGTATGAAGTTTGCTGCGCGGGGTGGAGCTGAGACCTGGGCTGACATCCTGTGGCCTGCATTCCTCACCCCCCCAGCCCACAGTGTCCCAGCCTCCTGGAGGTGGAGCTTCCTGGGTCAGGGAAGGCCAGCAAGCCCAGGCCCAATTCCGCCTGCCTGAGGCCTGGGTGGGGGCTGCATTTGGATGCAGATGGGGCCTCATAACTTTCCCTGACCCCCCTAAGAGGCCAACCCAGTCCCGCCAGGCAACCCGGCCTTTCTCCTAGGTCCCTAATAACCCCCTGTATGTCTATCTCTGCAGAAATATCTTCCCTTCCAACCTGGTGTCTGCAGCCTTCCGTTCAGTGAGTCCTCAGGGGTGTCCCGAGGGGTGGGGGGTGGCCAGGGAGGGAGACAGCCAGTCAGAGCCCTCGCCTCCCGATTCTGGGTCCTGCCTGGATGAACGCACACACTCACGTGGTTACAGGTGTTACCAAAGGGGGTTCCTGGATTGCCTCAAACCCATCCGTCCCCTGCCCCATCAAAAAGTGAGATGCAGGCTCAGAGCCTGCTGTGGGTTTTCAGTCTAGCTGTGTGACCCTGGCCAAGTGCACTTAGCTCAGTGAGCCTCGGTTTGCACCTCTGGAAAATGGGGGTATCAATAGTCCTACCTCAGTGGGGAGGCCGGCAGACATTTGAGGGGTGCTGAGGGCAGACTTTAAGCATTGTTTGCCCCGTACAGAGGAGCCCTGATAACCACTGACACTGATGTGCCCTCTCCCCCTGCAGTATGCCACTGAGCAGAGATGGATAAACGGCACCAAGGTGAGAGCGGGGCAGGTGGCGGGTCCCACCCTTAGGCTCCTTGTTGAACCTTTTCAGTTTTGTTCCCTGAGTCTTCTAATGTTTTGATTTAAATGTCCCCCAGTCCTGACCCAATTTCTATCTTTTCTGGATATATCTCCATTTTGTTCCTTCTTTGCCCTCCATGTCGCCCCACCGTGGTTGGTCCAGGCTCCTCCTCTTCTTTTTTTTTGAGCCAGAGCCTCACTCCATCGCCCAGGCTGGAGGGCAGTGGCACGCTCACGACCACCGCAGCCTCGACCTGCTGGGCTCAGGTGATCCTTCCGCCTCAGCCTTCCAAGTAGCTGGAACTACAGACACA